ACTATAATTCACAACGACTCACGCACTTTACTTACGGTCACTACCGCTCACTTCACTCGATTAACTGTGTCTATATCTTCAATCTCTCTATCTGCTACTCCAGTTCCGATTAATCCCCTCCCGCTTTGATTGTTAGGCTTATATATATTAGAATACAGCAAGTCTGGCAAACACTTGAACCTTCTAGATACTCATTACATGTGACCAGCGTCACGTGACTTTCTCTGTCGTAACAGTAGGAAAAGAAAATGAATTAGGTTTAGTAAATTAATTTAAACAAATTGATAATGTAAAACATTTCATATAAAGAGAAACAATATTTATAATAATAAAAGTCCAGGATTTGTTGGACTTTTACTAAGAATAGCAAACGAAAGTATACTTATATTGTAGAACCAATATTATATAAGTTTCTATAGCAAAAGAAACTTTTTGCAGAGGGGTTATAAAATGCTGTAGTAATTCTGATTTACAAGAAAGATTATATGAGTAATTATGTGAATTATAGACCTGTTATCAGTATTTTCTAATAAAACAGAAAAAATAGCGAAAATAAAGCTGACAATATTTTGTTTAAAAATCAGTATGGAGTTAGAGAAAGGTTAAATACTGAAGAGGCACTCAAAGTACACAGAATATCTGTTATGTATCTCCTCGTTTGTTTATTTCCGATATAAATTGTTTCCGAGGAACTTCAGCGATACAAGTCCTTTCTTATTTAAAACTAGTTTATTCTTTCTTGGTACAACTTTTAATACACATAATTTCCACAGTCACTTCAAACTTAACAACCTTTATAACATACGCTATAAATCACAGTGATTCATACACTTTACTTACGGTGCCTACTGTTCGCTTGACTCAATTATCTATCTCTTCAATTTATCTACCGATCGCGCTGGTTTTTCTCGCCAGGCTCATATATTAAAAAGAGGGCGTCTCGAATGCACTGGGGCCTTCATGATCTTTCTAGAAATTCCAGCGCGCATGCTCCTGGCGTCGCGTGACTTCCGCTGTCGTAACATATCCATAAGTCCTTATGTAATGATGAAATCACTGAATGTAAGTTTTGGATCTATAGAAGACATTTAATGCTGCATCACATCAAATGTTATATAAAATTCTAGAGATAAGAGGTTTAAAATGGTTTAACTCTTATATAAAAGAACAAAAGTTGTAATTAAAGAAGCCAACAACCGCGGGTGAATGCAACGTCCCTGCCACGTAATCCCAACATGGCCAATTTTGACACCAGAAATATCGTGAAAAACACAAAGAAATTGAGAACTGTTTATATCACTG